GTGTTGTATTTAGAAATCAGTAGACTTTATTATTTTTTATTTTGATAGACAAAGGTATTTCTTTACAGGTATGAAGGGGAGTAGGAGACAGAGAAAGGGAGAGAGAGAGAAACATAGTCTTACACATTCCATGTCATATCAACACTTTAACAAAGTCATGCAGAGGAATTTACTAACACAGCTATGCTATTTTGGGTGAAAATTTCTAAGTGTTAAGAAACATTCTATTGGTGGTTGCTCCTTATCTAACACGAAATTCCCCATTACAACACCTGTTTTGTCTCAATGAATCGACCCCATAAATTGCTTTTTTGGGGCATCTCTATGAGGCTTACTTTTTCGGCATTCTCTATGTTGTGATGTCTGACAGCCTTGTTTTTTGTTAGAACAATGTCTTAGTATGAACTTAGTATGTGCTGGTATGCTAACTCAGAACTATAAAGCTCTGTTTTAGCATGGATGTGAAGCTTTTAAGGACTGGGGACACCAGCCAGAGCCAGGAAATTGTCAGACTGCTCATAAATGGTTTGACAGGTTAACCTGTCTCGGTAATATCGTTTACACATGAAACCAACGAATTAGCTGGAACTCCAAATGGGATTGTTACAAAAGAGTGTAAGTGAAAGTAAGTGTGTTTAAGTGTAACATATTTTTATTTTATTAACACTTTAATGACGTTAAGACATGTCCGTACATCCTAATTATAGTGGGCTTCAATGCTGCTAGGGCTTACTGAACCTTCCTGCAATTTTGAGCTGAGCAGGGCTAATTCCTTGCTCACACCAAGGAGTCCTTGGCATTGATCAAAACCTGGAGCTCCCCTCCGTCAGCTGCAGACGTTTTTAGTGGCTCTTTACTTTTTCATCAGTTGCATGCAGCGCTAAAAATGAGCACTGCAAGCAGTTCTTTAAATGAGCATTTAATTGCCTATAATACGTTTGCTGTGTGAGCAGGATTGAATGCCTGCTCACATGAGAAAACCCAGGTATGAATAGTTAACTTGGCCTCCCCTCTGTCAGCTTTGGCAATTTTTAATGGCCCCAGATGGACCGATGAGCTGTATGCAGTGCTGGTAGTCAGCGCTGCATACAACTCAATGGTCAGTCTGTAGCCATTAATTCCATTCATAAAACAACGGCAGAGCAATCGCGCTGCAGGCTTGTAAATAGAGACCCATAGAATGTAATAATGAAAACTGCCAGTAGATGGCGGTCACATACCACTCGATACTGGCTTAACTGTGAAGCCCATCTTTTGATATCAGAATTGATATAATAATGAGGATTTCCCTAGGGTCAGGTTAGATTTAGGGGTAAAGGTAGGGTTAGTGTTAGGTTAGAATTAGCTGTAGGGTAAGGTAAGAGTTAATGCTGGGTTTTGGTTCATGTTGTTTTAAGGTTCGGAATTATGTATGGTTAAGGGTAATGTTAGGGTAGCTATAAGGCCAGGGACCAGTGAAAGTATTTAGAAAATTGGGCAGACTAGATTTTCAATAGAAAATATTGAAATTAAATACCGAAAATTACCAAAAATAAAGATTCTAGACATATGAGGCATTTAACAGTCAGGATTGACAGGAGAATCTATTTTTTAAGTTATTTTTCTTTAGTTGCACTGGCCATATTATTATATGTGAAAAAAGTTTTTTTTGTTTTTTTTTTACATTTTATTCACACTTAATGTTGTGTTAGGAACGCATACATAGATCAACCACAACATTAAAACAACTGACAGGTGAAGTGAGTAACATTTATTATATCGTTATAATGGCAACTGTCAAGGAGAGGGATATATTAGCCATCAAGTGAACAGTCAGTTCTTGAATTTCATGTGTTGGAATCGAAAAGATCTGAGTGACTTTTACAAGGGCCAAATAGTGATGAGACTAGACAACTGGGTAAGAGCATCTCCAAAACAGCAAATCTCGTGAGGTTTTCCCGGTATGCAGTGGTTAGTACCTACCAAAAGTGGTGCAAGAAAGGACAACCGGTAAACCGGCATTAGGGTCATTGGTGCCAACGGCTCATTGATGCACATGGAGAGCGAAGGCTAGCCCATCTGGTCCAATCACACAAAAGAACTACTGTAGCTCAAATTGCTGAAAACCTAATGCTGGCCATGATAGAAAGGTGTCGGAACACACAGTGCATCGCAATTTGCTGCATTTGGGGCTGCGTAGCCGCAGACCAGTCATAGTGTCAATGTAGACTCCTGTTTACTGACGAAAGCTTCTTTGATGGGGACGTGAGTGTCAGAACTGGACCATGGAGCAAGAGAAGAAGGTTGCCTGGTCTGAAGAATCACGTTTTCTTTTAGATCAGGTGGATGGCCGGGTGCATGTGCGTCATTTTTTCTGGAGAAGAGATGGCAGCAGGATGCACTATGGAAGAAGGCAGGCAAGCACAGGCAGTGCTATGCTCCGGGCAATGTTCTGCTGAGAAACCTTGTGTCCTGACATTCATGTGGATGTTACTATGACACCTAAAACCAGGGCCGCCATTAGAAATTTGGGGGAACCTAACTCAGCTCGGGGTCTGGGCCACCGGGGCCCGCCTCCATGCCCACCCACAGGGACAGCCTCCAAATCCCGCCTACAGGAATACACACAAAGACACAAACACACACACTGATACAAAAGGACACAGATACACAATTACACAAAGATACACACATACTGACACACACGTACATACTAACAGACACACATACTGAAACAGACATACACACATATAGGCATACATACTGACATACATAGTGACACAGACACATACTAACATACATACAGACGCGCACACACACACATACACACATACATACAGACATACATTCATACATACTGACATACATTCATACATACTGACATACATTCATACATACAGGGAGTGCAGAATTATTAGGCAAGTTGTATTTTTGAGGATTAATTTTATTATTGAACAACAACCATGTTCTCAATGAACCCAAAAAACTCATTAATATCAAAGCTGAATATTTTTGGAAGTAGTTTTTAGTTTGTTTTTAGTTATAGCTATGTTAGGGGGATATCTGTGTGTGCAGGTGACTATTACTGTGCATAATTATTAGGCAACTTAACAAAAAACAAATATATATCCATTTCAATTATTTATTATTACCAGTGAAACCAATATAACATCTCAACATTCACAAATATACATTTCTGACATTCAAAAACAAAACAAAAACAAATCAGTGACCAATATAGCCACCTTTCTTTGCAAGGACACTCAAAAGCCTGCCATCCATGGATTCTGTCAGTGTTTTGATCTGTTCACCATCAACATTGCGTGCAGCAGCAACCACAGCCTCCCAGACACTGTTCAGAGAGGTGTACTGTTTTCCCTCCTTGTAAATCTCACATTTGATGATGGACCACAGGTTCTCAATGGGGTTCAGATCAGGTGAACAAGGAGGCCATGTCATTAGATTTTCTTCTTTTATACCCTTTCTTGCCAGCCACGCTGTGGAGTACTTGGACGCGTGTGATGGAGCATTGTCCTGCATGAAAATCATGTTTTTCTTGAAGGATGCAGACTTCTTCCTGTACCACTGCTTGAAGAAGGTGTCTTCCAGGAACTGGCAGTAGGACTGGGAGTTGAGCTTGACTCCATCCTCAACCCGAAAAGGCCCCACAAGCTCATCTTTGATGATACCAGCCCAAACCAGTACTCCACCTCCACCTTGCTGGCGTCTGAGTCGGACTGGGGCTCTCTGCCCTTTACCAATCCAGCCACGGGCCCATCCATCTGGCCCATCAAGACTCACTCTCATTTCATCAGTCCATAAAACTTTAGAAAAATCAGTCTTGAGATATTTCTTGGCCCAGTCTTGACGTTTCAGCTTGCGTGTCTTGTTCAGTGGTGGTCGTCATTCAGCCTTTCTTACCTTGGCCATGTCTCTGAGTATTGCACACCTTGTGCTTTTGGGCACTCCAGTGATGTTGCAGCTCTGAAATATGGCCAAACTGGTGGCAAGTGGCATCGTGGCAGCTGCACGCTTGACTTTTCTCAGTTCATGGGCAGTTATTTTGCGCCTTGGTTTTTCCACACGCTTCTTGCGACCCTGTTGACTATTTTGAATGAAACGCTTGATTGTTCGATGATCACGCTTCAGAAGCTTTGCAATTTTAAGAGTGCTGCATCCCTCTGCAAGATATCTCACTATTTTTGACTTTTCTGAGCCTGTCAAGTCCTTCTTTTGACCCATTTTGCCAAAGGAAAGGAAGTTGCCTAATAATTATGCACACCTGATATAGGGTGTTGATGTCATTAGACCACACCCCTTCTCATTACAGAGATGCACATCACCTAATATGCTTAATTGGTAGTAGGCTTTCGAGCCTATACAGCTTGGAGTAAGACAACATGCATAAAGAGGATGATGTGGTCAAAATACTAATTTGCCTAATAATTCTGCACTCCCTGTACATACTGACAGACATACATGCATACTGACAGACATAAATGCATACTGACCTACATGCATATTGACATACAGACATACATAAATACATACAGACATACATACTGACATACACATCCCATTTTTCAGCCACCCTCCTGTTTCTTACTTTTTCCTTGCTGCAGGATGTGGCTGATGGGAGTCGGCGTGGCTCTCCCTCTTCAAGGCCTCCACGCAGTCTCTCCTCCTGCACAGAGTGAGATGGGAGGAAGTGACCGGCCGTCACCTTCTCCCAGCAGCACTTGCGGTGTGGCTGCAATTTTTTTTTTAAAGGAGCCAGTTGCGCCGGCAGCAGTTCCGCCGCTACACGTGGGGCCCGCACGGACGGCTATACACCTGTGTGGTTCAAGTAGGGGACGAAGGACTCCATGGTTCTCCCTAGTCAAACCCCTGCTAAAAGACCAATCCAGGGTTCTATGACTGAGCCAGACCTGTCATTTTAATAGTTTGTAAAAGCAATTTAGCATTATCAACTGAGGAACCCACAAGAAAGTTCTCTTTTAAAATGCATTGTCATTTTTTTACACCGTTTGAAAAATAAAAACAAATCGATCCATGGTTTATTAATAATAATTTTATGAGTAAGAACATTAAATCAGCAACTGATTAATACAGCAATGCTTAAAGCAAAACTTTAACTGATTTTGTTAGAAACATTTGCAGTTAAGTTAATAGTGCATTAAAGCTGTGTGAATCTGCACAACCTTCTCCTGATAAACAAAAGAAAAGGCTCTGGTATTATAATTGGCATCCTGCGATCCATTCTGACAGGTCCTTTCCTTGACAATATTTTCTCCAAGCAACCCTAGGTAAGAAAGAAACATAAGTGTTCGGTTATTAATAATATGTCAACAATGAATTCAATAGTTTCAGCTATCAAACTAACCATATAATCTACACAATGAGAGGGCTATTGTTCTTTGCACGTTAAACAGTTGCTACTATCATCAGGTATTGAGGTGTGAATACTTAGTGTCAGTACGTACCATGCTGCCATGCCATTAGGGTCGCTCACAACACGCTTGGCACATGTCAATGCTTGGGTGATGTCATCCTTTAACAGCACTGGGAAGAAAAACAAAGAAATGGTGATACACTCAAGAAAAATGAATGGCAGATGAAATACCAAGCCTGGGACACCATGGAAGAGATCGGCAGTCTGTTGTAGTAAATCGTTGTAGCCAAAACGTATATTTTTTGTATCCCTGTTATAAATAAATCTGGACTTTGTGTGCCTTCATACTGAGCACTGATAAGAGAGATATGTATTTACTTGCTATATATTTCATTTATTATTTGTTTTGCTTTTCTAAAAACCAACCCAAGAAGATCACGTGAAATTGTAAATACAGGTACATGCATGTGACATGTGCAATTGGATTTTTAATGTGAGTTATACATTCATGGCTAAGTCTGAGTTTAAAGGAAATCTTCCAAAACGGAAATCAATGCTATTTCATTTAAAAGGAAACATAGGTAGTAAGTGACTCCACTTTAATGCATTGATTATGTAATGACCAAGAATAGACTGCACCAATCAAGGGCCCCTCGTTTTGTTTTTTATTACCCCATAAACCCTTCGTCATTGGGAGGTAAAGACATAACTAATACAAAGTTTTATGCAAAAGGTAACAAAAATGATTTAAGTAAAAGAACAATATGATTTTCTTTTGGTGCTTCATATTTAACACATTTTTACAATTTACATGGGGATATTCACTTAAGTGTGACATGTTACCTCTGCAGAAGAAAAGCACAGATAAAATAGAGGCTTTTGACAACTCATCTATGTAGGGGAGAAGGACGTAAACCTAAACAGTGACTCATGGCCCTCGTCTAACCGGATCTGGTGAATTCAATGAAATTGCTGCCTAGTGAACATCTTTGCTCAGCAGACAAAACTAGAGGTCTGATGCACATAATTAAAATCTTGTCCTTCTAAACTATGCTCCCATTTATGTGCTATGGAAGGCAGGAAAAAAGACTGGCAGGGTTCTTCACCAAAGTGAATTTCAAATTTAAGGCCAATTTAGCCAAAATGGAAAACTCTGTAAATCAACTGTGCTTTCAGTTCAGCTAATCTGATGTTAAGTTTGAAATTCACTCACCCACTTTCACATAGGCTGGGAGTGTAAACTAAGAGGACCGAGACAGGATGATCAAGAGGTCCAAAACAATATCATTGTACTCAAAATGTTCTATTTCTGCCTATTTCTCTATGCCTGTTTTAATTATACTGATGATACATGTTGTATTAATCTGATGTAATATTAGTATATTTTCTTTACTATTTTGACTGCTCAAAGGCTAACTGTACTACAATGTTTTTGTTCTTTCACTTATCACTGGATTGTCTCTTTGACCTGCTTGTATAATTGATACTCAATAAACATTGAGTTATAATTTTTTTTTTAATATATATATATATATATTTACTTTGAATTCTCATTTTAGCAAATATTAAAAACTCTGGACGGGTCACGCGACAAGGAAGCTTTCTTAAAAAGCGTGTCACTGTTTTTCCTATTTTTGCTGCTGTTAGTGGGCAATTCTAAGCCAATTGTATATGCTGCCATGGTTATCCAGAAAAGAAATCACTTCATTCTCTTCTGTGAAGGCACAAATTATTTTACAAGCATTTAAACTAGTAAAATTATCCTAAAAAATTAATGATTAAAACACCCAACAATTTGCTTTCCCTGATACAGCCTAGTGCTAGAGTCCCATAATGGGAACAACTCCCATAAGGTACTAGGGAAAATAAATACCATTCACAGCTATAGATAACTTACCATCGCAGTTGATGTTGCAAGCGTTGCGAGTAGGAGACTTGCCATTATTACACCACCAACGACTGTTAATCTGCAAGATTCCGTAATCAGTGCTGCCATCCGTGTTCAAATTTGTAGCGTTCGTGTTAAAGCGACTCTCGTAGTAAGCCGTGCATACCCCTATGGAAATAAATTGCAATTATATTGTGCCAGTCTCTGACAAGTAATAATTCAAATAGAAAATGATATCTAAATACAGTCACTCACAGTTTGGCAGACTGTATCCTCTGAATCCATCAAGACCACTAATTTTCATTGCTTTTGCAAGTTCACATTTATTATATATTTTTCCATTTGTTGTTGCAAGAACGAGCAGCAGCCCTGCGAGGATATGTACTGCAAACTTCATTGCCCAAGCCGAACAACACTGAACTGAAAGAAGAAACTTCCCCTATTTATGTGTTACACATTTTTTTTTTGTTTTTTTTATTCCCTATACATTGGGTACGACAGGTTTGACTTGACTTGCATTATAGGTTACAACAAGAATGCAACACGATATTGCCAAACCTATTTCCTTATTTGTATTCAGTGTTTCTGTGATGAGAGGGTGCAACGTTCTGTGATGAGAGGGTGCAACGTTAATTTAGGGTTGTTAATTGACAGGTGAAAAGCAGAAGAATAATCCTATTCCAGGTGTAACTGACAAAAATGTTAAACCCAGGCACGCCCTCTCTATCTTGCCATTTTTCAATATCTTGCTTTAATATGTAATGTATTTGTGTATTTTCCTTTATCTTGCACAGGCTGTGTAATGACAGTGACAAGCCGAAAAGCTTATCATTGCCTGTGCAGCTTGACTCCATGCTGTGAGACTCATAGGCAGAGATTTGTCAAAGTGTTGCCAACACGTTTCTGTCTAGTTTTTAGTCAATTTTCAGTGCAATATATTACATCTGTTATTGTCTATCTGTTGTATTTCTTTTATTACCCTAATCATAATTTTAGAATTTGCACCATTTTTCCCCTCAACACAATAGATATATGACATTTTTCTGACACTTTTTCACTACAATTGTATTAGGGTACCCATTTTCCTGCCACACATCTTCTCGTGTGCAGAGGGGTCGTAAGTGCGAGTAATTTATAGGCAGTCTCTTGTTCCCAACTAGAGGGTGCACAGTGAGTTTACAGATTTTGGACCACTGTTTAGGGCAGAAATTGGTACATGGTGTTTCTTTACATTTCCCCACGAAGCTCGGGGGCGGTGTTCTCTTCGGTCTCAGATCATGCCGTAAAGGATAGACAGTCCTCTTACAAATGGGTCGGGGTCAATGCATAGTGATTTGAATTCCATGAGGTCTCTCCAGGTAGAGCATTTCGGGACGATAGAGAATATGAATTCTGAAAGTTTGTCTAAAGTGCGACTCTTCATCAGCGGTAGGGTGTCCAGTGATCTAATTTTCCTGTTGTGGCAAACCTAGCCACTTGGACTATAACCAGAGACTGTACCTTTAAGGGTTGCCTGCATGTCGGTGGAGATATGTGTTTAACTACGTACGCTGTATGCTGACTGTAATATCTTGAATTGCCTGTATTTGCTCTCCGCCGAATGCGGATAGCTATTTGTATGGGGTTTTCCTTTCGTTTCACGAACGGCACTTTGGAGGGCCGTTCGTGAACCGAAAACATGACCCCTAATAGCCCACACACTTAGAGGCGTGTGGCGCTTGTTAACCGATTGCAACAATGTTGCAATCGGTAATTAGAGGCTCTCCTGGGTGGCCGTCGTTCGACTACCGACCATGCAGCGGTCGGCCATCTTGGATCCTTTGTTCCCTCAGCGGTGTTAGGTCGTCGAGCACTTGGAACTAAAAACGGCTACTCAACGTCACGAACACCGCTGAGCCTCCAGGACGTTCGGGAGTTCCAGGACATTCGGTATTTCATTCCCTGGAAGGCAATCAGTCTTTTTAATATGTTTCTCAATAAATGTGTTTTTCGTGCGGCGTTCGGTTATTTTAGCTGGGATCTGAGCGGTAATCTCACGAATGATGCACTCAGACCCCAGCTATCTACCGAACGTCCATTCGTGCAAATAAACTGTATATTCGCAAAGTTACAGATTTTTATATAAATTGTCTGTTCTGCTGCACGGAGGGATAATCCACTTAACGGTATATTCCAGGAGGAGGATCCCTCTCGTGCAGCAGTGCCTGATGGGAGAAATGTGTTGTACTGTAAGTTCCCCATGTAGTCCCCTCTGGGAATGCCCATGGGAGGGGACTCAGGAAACCCCTTGCATGGGGACTTGTATAAATTGTGAAGCAGAATTAAAGGACTTCAGTTGACTCTCAGAACTGTGTTTCGTCCGGTTACTGGGAGGTTGGGGATATTGCCTTGTTGTTTCAGCGCTTGACTGTGGATTACTTCCTGAACCAGCGGAATTCGTGGATTTAATATTGGCGTTCCGCTACAATTGGTGGCAAGCGATGGGATCCAACTCTACAGCCGAATACAGCGCATTCGAATGAAAGGAACAACCGAACGGAAAAAGGGAAAGGCAATTCGTATGCAACAAACAGACGAAAGCGATCAGTGAATGGGGACGGATTACACGGCATTAAAGAGGCAGACGCTAAAGGAACTGCTGGAGGCTAGAGGGAAAAGCGCTAGCAACAAATCCAAAGCAGTACTAATTGCAGAGCTGATGGAGGGCGACCAAGCACACAGCAGTCCACCCCCACCTGCCAGGGAGGAAACACAATATCAGAGGGAACTGAGAACCCGGTTGGAATTTGTACCTCAGCCAGTACCCCTGGACATCTTGACCGTACTGATGGCAGACGTACAGGACTACATTATGACACAGCAGCCCCAGGGGCCACCCTCCAGGGCAGAATCCATTGCCAACTCATTCTGCGCTCCAGTGAAGCAGAAAATACCCTGCCAGGCATTTAAAGCGTTCTGCGAGGAGAAGGATGAGATCGACGGATACCTGCAGGATTTTGAGAGGTTATGCGACCTACACGATCTGGAGCAGGCAATGTGGGTACCCTTACTAGCAGGCAAGTTGGCAGGACGAGCAGCAGAGGCTTATTGCGCTGTGCCCAGAGAGGACAGCAAGGACTATTTTAAAGTCAAAAGGGCAATTCTAGAGAGGTATGCCATAACCCCGGAGGCATACCAGCGTAAATTTCGGGCATTGAGGAAGCCAGAAAAAGATTCCCACGCTGAGTGGGCACATAAGCTCGACCAAGCTTCACAAGGGTGGATTCAGGCAAGCCAAGCCACCACCATGGAGGGACTGCGCCAACTCATCCTGCTGGAGCAGTTCTTTAACGGCCTGTCACCAGAGGCACAAGAGTGGGTAAGAGACAGAAAACCCCTCACCCTAACAGAAGCCGCCCGGTTGGCAGATCAACACTTTGATGCCAGGAGGCATCATGGGCTCACCAACAGGGGTCCCCTGAGACCACTAGTACAACACCACCCTACCATCTCCACACCTACCAACTCTGCTCCATTCCGGCCAGCACCAGGGAACCCCCCACCACCATCCCGCTACAATGGCCGAGCCAACATACAATGCCATACCTGCCGGCAGTGGGGGCATATGTCCCGGGAGTGCACCCAGAATCGGAGTAGACAGGCGTGGAACCAGGTACGGCAAAACTCCACCCCAAGGGCAGCAGCTCATTACTACCACACGGAACCTGACCACGCTGAGCTGGCAAGTCTGCAAACCGAGGAACCATTGGGAGTTTTATACGAAGTGATGTCGGTGCAAGCCACAGACAACAGGCAGCATCACCGTCAAGTTGTGTTTGTGGGGGGGAAGGAAGTACAAGGGCTGAGGGACTCGGGAGCCACTTTGACCCTGGTTGCTCCACATTTGGTTCCAGATACGGCCCACACTGGTGGATCAGTGGCGGTCAGGGTAGCAGGGGGAGCCATGTACCGGCTACCCACTGCCAAGGTGCATTTGAACTGGGGTGCTGGGGAGGGGGTTGTAGAAGTGGCGATAATGAAGAAGTTACCGGCAGATGTTGTGTTGGGGAATGACTTGGGCCAGATGACTTCAGCTTTCCTACCCCAGGCTCCTTCGCAAGAAGCTCATCCGGTAACTACCCGGCAACAGGCTCGCACCACGGTACCACCAACACACTCTGAGGCTCAGGTAAGAAACCATGACCCCCCCTTGACGCATATGACCTGGGACACCCCGACCACTTTTGAAGCAGAGGTCCAGACAGACTCCACACTGCAGGTGTACCGAGATAGGGTAGACATTTGGGTACATTTGGGAAAACAAGTTGTTGTACCGGGTGGCTGAAAGGGCAATAGGAAGCTCTGTGACCCTCCAAACTAAGCAACTGGTAGTACCCCAGAAGTATAGACATGAGTTACTAAGAATAGCCCAGGACATCCCTCTGTCCGGCCATTTAGGGATGACCCGGACCCGGTATCGCTTAACTCACGCTTTCTTTTGGCCCGGGATTTCTAAAGATGTAAGACATTATTGTACCTCCTGTGATGTGTGTCAGCGGGTAGGCAAGAGAGGGGATCGCCACAAGGCGAAACTGTGTCCCCTACCTATAATTGAGGAACCGTTCAGCCGTGTGGCTGTAGATATAGTGGGGCCACTACCAAAACCCAGCCCCTCTGGGAAGCGGTATATACTGACCGTGGTGGACTACGCCACCCGGTACCCCGAGGCGATTGCCCTAACCAATATTCACGCTGAGACCGTGGCCGAAGCCCTGATGAAAATCTTTTCCAGAGTAGGGTTCCCGCAGGAAATTGTCTCCGATAGGGGGACACAATTTACGGCCGAGGTTACTCAGCAGTTATGGAAAATATGTGGCATTAAGCCAATCATTAACTCGGCCTACCACCCTCAATCCAACGGATTGTGTGAGAGGTTCAACGGTACCCTAAAACAGATGCTCCGTACATTCGGAGAGACCCATAAGGACTGGGAACGATTCCTTCCCCATCTGTTGTTTGCCTACAGAGAGGTACCCCAAGAGTCTACCGGTTTCTCCCCATTTGAACTGTTATTTGGGAGAAGGGTCCGGGGACCGTTGGATCTCATTAGAGAGCATTGGGAGGGAGAGAGTAGCGCAGATGGGACCCCTATTAAACCATACGTGCTGGCGTTCCGGGATCGCCTGGAGGAATTAACTCAGGCAGTGCGCACCAACCTCCAGTCCGCCCAGCAACGACAGCGTCGTTGGTATGACAGAGGTGCCAGAGACCGTAGTTTTCAAGTGGGGCAGAAGGTGTTAATCCTCAAACCTGTCCGCACAGACAAACTACAGGCCGTCTGGCAGGGCCCATACCAGGTGGTAGAGCAGAGATGCGATACCACCTATGTGATCGGCCCATGCTCCGGAGTAGGGAAGCGACGCATGCTCCATGTGAACATGCTCCACCCCTACCACGAGCGAACGGAGGACGTGGCAGCTATTTGCACGCCCGCCTCAGAAGATCAGGAGAACTTACCTCTTCCAGATC